CTTCTTCATCCTCAGAATAGAGAAGAAGCTCTTCCTCATTCCCATGTATTTGATCATCACGTGAGCAAGACTCCCAAGAATCCTAGAACCCCAAGGTTATCAGTGTCCAATCTCACGTTAAGATTCATCACTCCTTTGGGCAACCCTATAAGGGAAGGCCTTGAGGGTCACGAAGCTTGATCCTCAAGACATATGGCTTCCCATCACAAAGTCCAAAAACGGGAACAAGTTTTACACTTCTTTTTATACTTTATACTCTAGGATTAGTATTCAAGTGTTGGTGCGACCTGTGGCTTTCACTATTCTTGGTTGGTACGTATCATCAAGTGATCATATTCATGGTTTTGATTTTTGTTTCAAGTTTGTGATTCATTATTAGTTTGTTGTTCGATGTAGGAGCTGAGGAATAATAAGCTTGATGGTGGTGTTCATATAGCAGGTTTACACACTATGGTTATTAGTTCATCTTCATGAATATGTGGAACAAGGAGTTTGTTATAGTCGCTATCTCTATGCCTTCAACAAGCACTCGACTACTATTAGTGGCAGGGTGTGAAGTATGCCCATCATAAATTATTTTGCTTTGTCATCTAAAACTTCAACCTTCGCATCCTTAGTCTTCGCAATAACTCTTTGGTTTGAGACTGAGTTGCCTTGCTAGAGAAGGCCAAACTCAGCCTAACTACTATGTTAGAGGGAATAAGCTCGGATGATTGAGAGAACCACTATGGCTATTACATATGGGAGATAGAGGGAGAGAGAGAGAGAGAGAGGAGAGGAGACGGAGGGATTGAGGGGAGAGAGAGAGTGAGGGTGAGAGAAGGTGGGGGAGAGAGAGAAGTTTTTTAAAATTATAAAAAATATTGGTGGGACCCATTACACAATATTTCATAGTAAAAATACTAGAAAATTTAAAGGAAAATTATAATGAGTTCTCACATATTAGACTTAAATACTACCAAGTCTCATAAATAAGGAAAATTATTATGAAGTCCCATGGTCCTTAGGGGTGATTAATTCTAGAATTAAAAGGACCAATTTGCCTTTAGCTGATTTAAAGGGAAAAACAAAGGAAAGAGGAAGCAGAACTCATTTCCATGCGTATAGAGGCAAGAGTAGCTAAGGTGCATCTCACGATTGTCTTCTAAATGAGGCACAAAAGGAGCATTTTATAGTTAGAAGATGAACCATTCTTGCAATTTTAACATCCTAGTTTTAATTTCCTGATTAATTAAAACTAATTAGGTTAATTAAGTAAGTTGAAATGGTGTGGCCAGGAAGGTCTAATAATCATATTTGATTGTATTTTAACCTTAATTGTGGGTCCGATATTAAGGCAGGCTACTTGGGCATCAAAAGGAGAAGAAAAATTAAGAGTGATGTTGCTATGCCACACGTCGCAGTATGGAGATCATCCGCCGTGGCACATAGACACTTCTGATACAAGGGAGGACCTCTTTGTGCCATGCCCTATGTCGCATTGTGCGTCTATCGCGGCGCATGGCCATTTTTTACAGATATCAGTTGCGAAAATGAGACAAAAAAAGAAAGAAGAGAAACGAGAAAATGGAGAGATGTGCCAATGCTCTGTTAGGGTTTGCTTGTGGATGACATTGTGAGTATTTTGGAGGCTAAAAATACCCAAAGTAAGTATATGTTAAATTATACTTAGGAAACATTCTATGGATTTACATTTTAGTTCTTTTATAGACAGGTTTGTTTAATTACATCCAAAATCCAAAAATCAAATGAAAAAAAAATTCATAGTTTTAGATAACAATACAACAATGAAGATTAGATAAACATAGAACACTAATAATAATCAAACACATATAATGGAGGAACACATCTAGATTTCAGAGGAAGATCAAATATCCTTAATGCCGTCTTTTGTAAATTTAGGTTTCCCTTCTCATAGAGCTTATAGCGAGCAAGGAGTAAGGGGGATGAATGGATCTTGATTCAGGGGATAAATGGTAGAGCAATGGAGGAACACAACCAGATTTTGGAGAAAGATCGATGTAAAAGGTTTCAATCTAACTTTTCTTTCACTCTCAAACTCCAGGTGCGATTTAAAGAGGAAAATGGAGGAGAAGAGGATGCTTTCGGATCGAAGAGGCGACAATGCATAGATAAGAGGGAGATCGATAACTAGTAGGGTGGGAAGTTTCAAAATGGGTGCTACCACAAGCAAAAATGGGTTCTACTTCCTTTTTCCTTTGTTTTCCCCCTTTAAATCAGCCAAGGGCAAATTGGTCCTTTTACTTCCAAAATTAATCACTCCTAAAGACCATGGGACTTCATAATAATTTTCCTTATTCGTGAGACTAGCAGTATTTAACTCTGATTTGTGGGACCTCATTTTAACTTTCCCAAAATTTAAATGTGGGCCCTATAAAACAAAAATGAACGAGAAAAATGACAAAGTAATTGATTTAAAAATCTCAACAGTTGAGCGATAAAAATGACTCATAGTTAAGTTTATGATCATATGACCCTTCGTATGTATTTTAGGGACATTTTTTTACCTTTAACCCCTTTTAAAATTATTGTATATGGTACATTTGTGAAAAAATATTTTTGTGTCATCAAGATGGAGCATTCATTTTACTTTTTGGGTTATTGATTTTTTCAAATGTGCGGCCAAATCCTTCAATAGTTCAGTGATACATATAGAGCCAAATATTGGAAAATACTTATAATGGACAATTTTATGAAAAAGCTTAATACAATAATTCCAATTATTTCTGGTCAAAAAAATAATTCCAATGATTTCTCTAATTAAATCGTTGGCTAAGGCAAAATTTTATAATGCATTGGCAAATTTTATTAGCAATTCAATCTAAGATGATCCATTCAATTAGAGCTAGATCTTTCAATGTAATTTTTTCTATTTACAAAGTTTGAATTATTAACTTTGTTCAATGAAAATCAAATCTCTCAACTCAACCACAATGGATTTTGTTAAAATATACTTCCTCCGTTTAAAAATATAAGGTATTTTAAGTCTTTTAAGGTGTAATCATTATCTTTTTTAAAGTGCCCCCTATTAAATAAATTATTTTACATTTATTTTAGAATGAAACATCTTATTAAATATGAGTAAATATAAAAAGATATGGTTAATTTAAAAACAAGTAATTATTTTTATTGGGGGTGAAATTTGATTAAAAATACTTTATATTTTTTGAACGAGGGGAGTATAATTTTCTGTTATCATAATATATCATAAAATAAAATAAAATATAAATACTGCATAACTATTATAAGTTTTTTCCATGTTAGAAGCATAATGTTTCACCCTATCCAAAAAAAGAAGAAGCATAATGCTCCAATTATTGACACTACTCAAATCTCACTCAGTTCACACATCACTCTTGTTACCTGAATATGGCAAGTCACCATTAATTTTATCAAAATTACAAAATTACTTGATTTCTTTAAAAGAAGAATTAATCTTTTAATTCTTGTAATTTTAACTTGGTTAAAATTCTGTTCAATTATAACTTATTATTGCTGAGTTCTTGAATTTTTATTAGGTACAACTTAATTCTTATAATTTTAATTGTTTTAAATGTTGGTTCTTAATGTTGTTGGCCAAAAAAAATAATGATTTCTACTGTTCAAGAAATAATTTTAGTTTTTATAATTCTATTTTTAAAAATACATGGACTATCAATTTAAATTATTAAAGCTATAAGAATTGAGTTTTAATGAAATTAAAACTATAAAAATTGGATTGCATTAAGTCAAAATTCAGGATTAAGTTTTAATTAAGTTAAAAATACTGGACCAAAGGAGTAAATTTATCTTTTTTCATCCAATAAATTTTTATATAAAAGGTACACTTCCTCAGTTTTTTATTAGAAGAGAAACTGCCATATGTTTTATTTTTTAATAAATAACACTATAAATTTTAAGACATATTTATTATTTTTTCAATTTTTTCCTCTTTAAATGGATAGTATAATTAAGTAAATATTAATTACAAATGTATTTCAGTCCAAAATTTTTAATTTCAAGTATAATTATTAGAATTAACTAAGAATTGGCCACCATCCTCTTTGTTTTCGGTTCTAATGATGCGCCTGCTTGGCAACAACATTAATGCTGAGAAGAAAAAGGGCATTGCCAGATAGTTTTGCTAGTAGCTTTGGCTTTCTTTGTTGTTGTTGTTGTTTTTTTTTTTTTTTTTCTCGGGTGTGTTTGTTGGTTTTATGCTAGGTTTTGTGCTTTGTTTGTTGTTGTTTTTTTATATATAATTATAGGTTGTATCTAGGTCTTTACTTACTTTCTTTTCTTGCTTTCTACTATCTAGTGAGTGTATTACTTTTTTGATATAAATAAAATGGTCTCTTTTTGCTTGGGGAAAAAAAAAAAATTAACCAACTTACTTAAATGTGTGAGTTTGTTAAAATTTAGGAAAAATCACATTTAAGACTTTTGGATAAGAAAAAAATAATAGTAAAGACCCAGAACAATAGAAAGTTCAACATGCATAACTAAATTGCTAAACCTTATCTTGGGCAAGGCTAAACTTTCTATTGCTCTGGACCCTCATTATTATTTTTTCCCATCCAGAATGCGATTCTCTCTAAAATTTGTTTATATTTAAAAATGAGGAGAGTATAATATAAAGATGAGAGAGAAGCTAGACCAGAGCTGAATACATTATTAATAAAAAAAAATTCTGAAAGGGTAATTCATTATTTTTTAAGCCAAAAAGGTAATCAATTAGACCGGAGTTAAATGCATTAATTGTTTTACTACATCTAAGGCTCCAAACTTTTAGGAGCAATACCTTGTATTGAAACTTATTCATCAAACTTTAATCCAAAAAAACTTATAGTCATGAGATTAATGAGTGAGAGACTGATAATAGACAATAAAAAACTGGCAATTTATGAACAATAGCTTCGTCTCATCTGGTCCTCAGCCCAACGAACAGTCCAATGAACCCAAAGTAGTGACCCTACACGACTGTCTGGTTTTGATTTTTGAATGTCTATCTAATCACTTTCACATTCTTCAACCCTCAGCACCAACGTTGTGTACTTTCCTTGTTTCAATACACAACATCGTCACCATCGCTTTAATTTCTAATTCTATCCTCTGTTCTGTTCTCCCAGTTTCAACTTCAAACTAACTACAATATTCATTCTGCAATGGAGGAATCACCTTCTTCTTCATCACCTTCTTCTTCCTCAGCATCAACTTCTCAGCATCTGGCAGAAGAAGCCAATCCTGATTCTGAGAATTCAAATGAACAGAATCATCAGCAACTTCCTTCTCTGACATATAGGGTTGACATTTCTATGGCCAATTCATATCTTGCTGCTACTAGGGATGACGTCTGGTCTTGTCTCATCATTCTCGTCACTTTTTGGTTGGTCGGTTAGTTAGTTTGTTTCTTCCTCCTCTTTGTTTTTTGTTTGTTGAAATTTTCTTTTCCCAATGTTAAATATTGTGTTTTGAGTTATTAATTAATAATTAATTTTGATTGTTGGTTTCAAGCAGCAACAATGGGTCTGGTTCTTGGTATTTATGGAACCACAACATTGCAATTGGGTCCTTATTCCTCAGTTTTAATACAAGTGAACTCAATGTTTGTTCAGTCTATCACGGTAAGATTTTTTCTTACATCTCTAAGTTCATTCAAAAAAGAATTACCAAATAGTCCTATATAAGCATTTTTTTTAAACCTCACACCTATCTTGTTCTTTGTGAACAACGAAACAAGGAAAATGTAGATAATATGATTATATTGTTGTTTCTTTTCTTCTTGTTCTTTTTATTTAAGTTAATCATTTTATTCAATGATTGATGAACAAATAGGTGGAACATGTTGATGAACCGAAACCTGGGATAATGCTATATGGATTTGATGAATCACCTGGCCTTGATGTCAAAATGAACTGGTCTAAGTCATATAGTGGATCTCTACAACACAATTTTTACAAGGCAAGTTTGTTTTACTATTTTTTTTCTTTATTTTAGAGATAATATAACTTCTAATTCCAAAACTTTCTCTCAATTATCGATTTATTTCTTGAACTTTGATGTTTATTAAGTTAAAGAATTATAGAAACTAAGTTGTTTTGAGTCAAAGTTTAAGGACTAAATCGATAATTGAAAACAAGTTTAAGAACCAAAATTATATTTTCTTTTTATTTTATTCTTACTCAATGCATCGCCCTTGATGCTTCATTTAATGTGGTGGAACTGAAACTTTTTGTAAATATTACAGGAATGGATATTCTACCTGAACAAACACTCTCAATTGGATATCTTTTACAATGTTAAATCCCCAAGACTTTCATATCTATCCCTTGTTATTGCTCAAGGTAAAGTTCCACTTTCTTCATCATTTGTGGTAAAAAAAAAAAAAAACCAATAAAAATTTGGATCTTATGTGTTGCAGAGAGTACAAGATTAGAAGCCACGCTATGCATGACTCTATAAATAGTACAGCTTCCAGTAGTTCATATATAGGTGCATAGTTCAAGAAAAATGGATTATTCTGATGACCAAGTAACATAGGTTGTTTGTATTAGAATTCATAAGAATAAAATGAAGAGTTTATAAGATGAATCTAGACTCCTTAGAGTGGTTCCAAGCATGGTTTACCAAGTGACATTCTTGTCGATCCTGGGCAACATTGAACTCTCTTATGCTTGGTTTGGATGGAGGCAAAAGTGGGAAAAAAATGGAGAAGGCGGAATACCAGAAGAAAAACCACTGGGCACTTAGATTAACTGAAGTGCTCAACTAGAGGTTCGAGATCTTGGTATGCAGCAGTGATTAAGCTCTGAATGGGAAGTATGTGCCCCCTCAAAGAGGTGCTTGCAAGCTGTTGATTGGATTAGTTTGGGTCAAAGACTTAGGATACCAGAGCAAAAACAAAAAGAAAACAATACCAAGAGGGAAAACTGTCAAAATTAAAATAATAATAAATTATTATTATTTTTGGTCGTTTTCCTTAGTAGCATTCTTTCTTCCCTATTTTTCTCCCCATCCAAAACAAGGGTTAGAGTTACAAACTTGCAACAGATAATGCTGTTAGAGACATAGGGTCCCAAAAACAATGAACAGAAAATGAACATAAAGAGATTATGGACTCTCTTAAGTTTACAAAATTGACTTCATGTGATGTATTCATAGAAAAGAATAAAGTACACAGTCCTACTTCCTTGTATTACTCTATGTTTGAATGTATAAGCACATGAATTTTGCATCTTCTAATTGTGATTATGAGCCAATTGCATATTTAAGTTTAAACACAGTTTTCATTATAAAAGCCAACACTAATTATCATAAAGTAACATCATGACAAATTATGATCTGAAGGAAATTTGAATGTAACATCTTTATTTGCATAGCTAATTAATGGCTCATGCATTAAATTGCAGAACATGTTGCATTGATTTGAAACAGAAAGCATGTTGTGTATGTCTTCTGATTTCATAAACATGCAGGTAGAGAACAGCTCTTTGAATGGATAGAGAAGCCATCATTTCCTAACACAACTTTGTCTTGGAATATTATTTATGGTACTTCTCAGTTCCCTCCTATGTAGCACGGATACTTAAAAAAAGTAAACGTACCTGTATCCGATACGATACTTGTAGAATATTTCTGCATACATATCCCATATTCTAACATTTGTGATATGATTTTTTTTCAATAATTTCTTACTATATCACTTAAAAACTTAAAAAAAACACTTAATATTTTAGTTAATTACTATAAATATCCTTATATTACTTTAGAAATTCTTGTTTAAAAATCAAAATACCTATAACTTATATCATAAAATGTTGAAATATACATTATAAATATCCCTGTACCCGTATCTTAAAATTTTGAAAATTTGCCGTATCCCCATATCATGCTGTATCGTATCGGATACTCGTACCCGTATATATGCAACCTAGGTTCCCTCACTCGCCAAGTAAAAATTTCTTCTTTCTTATTTTTCTGCTGCCATGTTAATCTTCAATTTCATGTTTCCTCATTTACAGGGAGGAACAATATTACCCAGAAAATATCAGATCCATTTTCTTATTATGTGGTACTTGCTAACTCACAAACTGAAGATGTGGAGGTAATCAAAAGCTTCTACACTCTGATATATATAAAAAAAATACTTTTCTCATTATTTCATTCAACTTCAAAATATCAACACACAGAAACAGATTCATATTGTTGAAGATATAGATTGAGTTTGTTGATATGCAAGCTAACTGAGAGATTATGTTGAAACCCTTCATAAGACATGGAAGTTAAGAACTGAATTTTCTGTCAAAATCAAAATGATGTTGTGTTTGAACAGGTTGAATTGAAGTTCAGTGTGGATGCAGTTCTGTACAATACAAGCAATGCAATCAATAGATGTTCACCAGATAGCAGTTTGTGTAGATTGGACCTTTTTCTTTCACAGTCTGGTTCTGCAGTATTGACCACTCCTGCTCCTTCACAGGTAACTATTGTTTTCAGCATTTTTTTTTGTTTTTTGTTTTGTTTTACTTTCTCTATTTCGAATAAAAATAAGGATAGGATATTCCAAGACTATCTGTTGGTGTAACTCAGATTTTCTCCAAACACGTGCAACTAGTCAAAGATAAACAAGTCAGGTTCTGTCCTCTCGATATGCACAAAATTGCAAAATTGCACGATTGGAGCGAATACATGAGAAATAACAGAAAATTTTATTCCACTAGGTGGAGTCAACTCATAGATTGCACGATGTTATTATGCTTTGTCAACAACCAAGCCTTGTTAAACTCAGGGCATGACTCCAAAAGGAACATTGTAGATTGAAACTCAAGGTTGATCAATGATTGATATATGATTTTCAGGGAAATTTTGAGGCTGAATTGTTTCATGTGAAACTATCCTATGCACCAAGGTGGATCACATACTTTGTAGCATCAGGTCAATAAATTAATCTTCACACGATCTACTCTCCAAAAATTTACCAAAAACATATAAAAAGAAAGCCACACAGAATTTTGAAATGCAAATTTGGTGCAGGTATTTTGACTCTGCTAATCTTCTTTATCTTGAGATGCTGCAAAGTCTTCCAAAGAGATGGTTCAGACATGGAAAGCTTCCAACAAGTGCGAGTAGTTTCTGAACGAGCACCATTATTGCTGGGTGACAAAAACGACGACGTTTCAAGCTTGGGTTCGTCTTATGAGTCTTTCACTAGTGAAGAGGAAGATCTCACAGAATTGCTTAAAGGGAAGCCATTGAAGGAGGGAGAAGCTGAGAAAAGTCTAAAACACTTGTGTGTGATTTGCTTTGATGCTCCAAGGGATTGCTTCTTTCTTCCATGTGGCCATTGTGCAGCTTGCTTTGAATGTGGAACAAGGTATATTAAACATCTCACTCAATTTTTAATCTTTGGGGAAATCAAACTCAGGTTCTGCAAAAACAAACTAAATACATAAAAATATAGTATTAATTGACAATTTCAATAAAGAAAATGGAATTTCAGAATAAGTGTATAATTTTATGAGGCTTTTCTTTATTTAGATTACTTTTGTTGGACTCTAGGGGTGATTTTCCCTTAATCTTTTTGTTTTTCTTTTCATGGTTAAAATGATGCCCCAGTTAAATAAATTCTTTTTGGGCTGTTAGAATAAGCCTAATGAATCTATCAATATTTATGAAAGTAATTATATATTTATTAATAAGATCTTTACATTTAGGACCGATGGGAATAATAAATAATAATGTACTTATTCTTTGTTTGAAATTTTTAATTTTTTTAAAATTATTTAAATTTTTTTCAGAAAAATATAACATAAAATGGTAATAATTCCTTGATTATTAATTTTTAAAAATGGTAATTTTAATGCAATAAAAAGTCAAAATTTAAAATTTAGGCATGCAAATTAATCTACTTTGACTTGTTGTGGCACGTGGCAGTTAGTTTGATGAGTGGAGTCTTGGTAATGCAGGGTTGTTGATGAAGCCAGTCCTTGTCCCATATGCAGAAGGAGAATTAAGAAAGTTCGAAAAGTTTTCACTGTTTAATTATAATTTTCCTTCTATATCTATAATATATATATATATATATATATATTGTAACATTTACTATGTAATTGCAACGATGGATTTGCAACTTACATAGGAGTAGTTGATAGTTTGATCAAAGTTCTTTAGGAAAAGTCCATACATAGCAAAAATAAAATAACGGTTAATATGATTTGATGACCCCCGAAAATACATTACGACGTTTTACTCTCTCTCTCTCTCTCTCTCTCTCTCTCTGTTTTTTTTGAGGGGGGGTTGGGGGACAACGTTTCAGTCTTTAATTAATTTCGTTGTATGTACAGCATAGTTTCTCAAAAGATTGTACCCTCTTTAATCTAAAATGTAAGCATTTTTCTTCAACTAATTTTAGTTCAAAATATAAGCAATTTGGTACATGTAAAAAAAAATTATTTTATTTCTTATATTTATTAATTTAAATCCTTGTATAAGTTTATCTCTCACTCATCATGAAGCACATTGATAAATGGGATTTGGGGTTAATAATGAAAAATAATATATATTTTTTATGGGAATAAGAAATTTATTGAAATGCTAATTTTTTGTAAAAATTACTTATATTTTGGACTTTGCTAATCAAATATATTATGAAAATTGGACCCAAACTAGTTGAAATATCAGTTCAAGGTTCATCAGTTGAAGCTGGTTATAATTTTTTTTTCCCACAAAAAGGCAAATATATAAACATTAAAAGAAAAGTTTACATAGTTAGAGATAAAGCAAAATCATTACAAGGATAAGAATTAGCGATAAAAGACAAATCAAGTGGATCACATCTCTGAACGGTACCGCTGTTAAAGTAGTCCAAAAGCTTTACAATATCCTTGTCCACGGGGTTGCGGACTAGAGTAAAAGCAAACACTTTTATTATATCTGCTTCTCAAACTCACAAAGCTCTCTACCCTTGCAAAATAATTCAAATAGAAATTCTTAATCCAAAGAAGGATGCTGTGTACACAAAAGGCTAAGAATAGATGTTGAGTAATAACATTTGATTTGCTGAGAAGCAATGTAATCCAAACTTCATTGTTGAGAGATAAAGAAACAACAAAATAAGATTTCTTCCCCCTCCCCTTTTTTAATACAAGGCCACGGTAAAAATATCGTGCAAAAGGACCAAAATCAAGTCATGTTAGAAGTCAAAATGCTTCTCCAATTTATGGGAGTGTCATCAAATGAAGTAGTATCAAAATGTTCGCTTAAGGTCTTGTGGGTTAGAAGATCAGCATGGTAATTTGCTTATCTATAGATGTGTTCCAGAGTAATCTCTTAGCTCCTTATGATGAGATTTTTTATGCTTTTGATGATTGTTGAGAGTGAATGACTCTGGACTAAGTTGCCATTAATAAGGGATATGGCCTCTATTGAATTAGTACAAACATTGATTTTGGAAATCTTAGCATTCCAACAAATGTTTAGCCCTTCTAGAATTCCTATAAGCTCAGCAGCTGTGATGTGTTAGTAACTAAGGTTTTTAGTGAATCCTTTGATTCAATTACCCTTGTCATCCTTAATAAGACCTCCAAAAGCTGTGGCACCATTACGCTTGACTGAACCATCAATATCAAGTCTCGCCCACCTAGGATTTAGAGGCTTCCAACTCACTTTATGTCTGGTGTTGAAATTACTCAGACAGTCAAGCTTGGATTGAAGCTATAGGTCATTTATAGTTTGTTGGGTCCTTGAGAAAGCAATGTCTTTGTCCAAAGTATCATCTTTGGTGTAAAATTCCTCACATCTTGCTTTCCAAATGTTCCAACAAGCTTAGATAAAAAGTTTCTTCTAGGACAATCCTTTAGTATATCTGTTTCTTGCTTCATTATTAGCAATCCAAATTATCCAGTGCTGCATAGGAAGAGAGAAAAAAGTATAATATTTGGAAAGGTTAACTAATTTTTTCCAAACCTCCTTAACATCTTTACAATCTCGTAAGATATGAATAGAAGAGTTAAGAGAGTTACAACCTAGTTGACAGGTATAATGCTGTATAGTATTTCCGTTAGAGAGCAAGACATTTCTTTATAGACGATCCTAAGCTGCTTTTCAAAGAAAGTACTTAATCTTTTTACAAGTAGGCCATTTCTAAATTTTAGACCAAATATTATTATGTTCCTGAGTTTGCTAATTTTTCATTGTTGTGTAGGCAAATTTAATAGAAAAGTTACCATCTAAAGAGGATTTCCAAATAAGAATGTCAACTTTTCCCTGAGTATTAAGAGGTTGAACAAGAGAAATTTGTTTAATAACATTTGGGTGAAGGTATCTTCTTATAAGATCTAAATTCCAACCTCCGTTAGGCTTATAGAAATCCAAGATTCTTGCATAAAGAATAGAATCGGCATTGTGAAAGGCATGTTTAATAATAGGATTGAGTAGAGAGGTCCATCTATCATACCAAAAGAATATTTTATCTCCTTTATCAACTTTCCAACCAATAAAAGACATGAAAGTGTCCTAAATTTTGCAAATGCTATTCCAGGTATAAGAGCAAGAATTAAGTTTAACAATTATAGGGATAGTCGGATTGCTATAATTGTATTTATCCCGTAGAACCCATACCCATAGACAATTTATTTTAGTGATAATGCCTCAACATAGCTTCAAGATAAAGGCAATATTTTGGCTTTTGAGATTTCTAAGGCCAAGACTGCCAACCTTTTTATCAGAAATGATGCAATCCCAGGAGAGAAGGTGGGGTTTTTTTCTCCCATCAGAAGAATCCTAAAGAAAATTTCCAGAGATTTTATCCAATTCTGCTAACACATTATCAAGTAAGAGCATAGTTTGCATTGTGTAGCTAGGAAGAGCTAAAAGAACAGATTTTATGAGAACATATTTTCCTGAAATGTTGAACTTCTCCAATTTGCCAAGTGAGAGTTCATCTTCTCAATTAAAGTCACAAAAGTAAGCTTCGTAACCTCGTGAATGATAGGAATTCCAAGATAATTTTCAAGGTTACCAGTGAGAGAAATTCCAACATCATCACTAATTTGTAAAGCTCCGTTGAAATTGATATTTCTAGAGCAGAAAAGTTTAGATTTACCAGTGTTGATTTTTTGACTAAAAAGCATTACAAAAATATGAAAGTCATTGAAGAATGATTTGTGTTTGAGAAAAAGATAATTCTACAAAAAGAAACAAATCATTAGCAAAAAAAAAGTAGGAAATAGGAGGCCCATTAGGTGTTAGTCTAATAGGTTTCCATTCATTTTTATCAATATTACTGAGAATGTAGTAACTTAAACGTTCAATACAAAGGACAAAAAGATAGGGAGAAAGACGATCCCCCTATCGAATGCCACGAGAATGAGTGAATTCTTTAGTTGGTTCGTCATTCTAAAGAATTTTCATTTGAGTGGTAGAGATAGCAGCAAGAATTAATTTCCTAAAGTGATTGTTTATCCCAATGGAGATGAGAGTATCCTCGATGAAATTCCATGGTAGTCTATTAAAAGTTTTTCGAGGTCTACCTTAAGGGCCATAAATCCTTTTGTTCCTATTTTCTTCCTCATAGAATGAACGACTTCTTGAGCAATAATAATATTATCACTTCTTTACCATCCCTGAATGAAGCTACTTTGATAATCACCTATTAAATGATTCATGCAAGCACACAATCTTGTGGATAGAATTTTGGTGATAATTTTATAACTAACATTGCAAAGAGAAAATAGACCAGAAGTCTTTCATACAAGTGGGGTGATCAATCTTAGAGATCAAGGTAATGAAAGTGTCATTAATCTCTGTTATAGAATTCAGTTCTTTGAGAGCCTTTTTGACCAGATTGAAGATGTTGTCCTTAAGATTATTCTAATAAGAATGAATGAATCCAGCATTAATACTATTGGGGCCAAGGGCTTTGAAAGCCCCAATATCAAAGGCAGCATTTTTAATTTCTTCTTCAGTCATATCCCTATATAAGAATTGAAGTTAATTGGAAGAAAGAGGTAGAAAGCAAGCTGTTGTAGAGAGTTTAGATCTGTTATCATTATCTTCCTTAAAGAGGTTTTCAAAAAAGAAAACAGCCATGTTCTTTAGAATATTTTAGTCTTCCACCTAGTTGTCGTCATCATTTTTAAGAGAAATGATTTGATTTCCATTCTTTTTTATGATAGATGTAGTATGGAACAATTTTGTATTTTGATCTCTACATTTAAGCCATTTACATCTAGACTTTTAGAGCCACATCATCTCTTCTTGCAAAAGAACTTTGTTATAGTCTTCCTAAGGAGATTTTTCCAATTTTCAAAGGAAGTAATTATCTTTGTAGCTTCTATTCTTATCAATTCCTTCCAGTCTCCTTAAAATTCTTTTCTTCTTAGATGAAATATTGCCAATTTTTTCCTTATTACAAGTAGTAGCTAAATTGGAAAAATTAATAGCTCCCTCTATCCAATTGTTATTGATCCATAAATCTTTGATCATAGGATGGAAGGATTCCTCAAGTATCCAAGCAGCATAACAACAAAAGGGTTTAGTATGATTCTTTAGTAGAGACTATTTGAACAATTGAATTCTAATCGGACGATGATCAAAACTATATTTGAGAAGATGAAAGGAAATTGCTTGGTGAAATTTAATCCTCCATTCTATATTGCAAAAAGCCCAATCAATCTATTCTTTCACATTACCTTTTTTCTAAGTAAATCTATCACCATAAAAGTTGAGGTCAAGAAGGTTGGAAGAATTTATGTATTGTCTAAATTGTTTTATAGATCTCTAATTGAAATTATCCCTACTACTCTTGTCATCACAAGAAAGGTATGAGTTGAAATCACCAATGATAAGCTAAGGTTAGTGATATTATGAGCAAGAGAATTGATAAAATCCTAAAGTAGGTCACGTTGGAGAGGATTAGGGTCACTATAGACACATGAGAGCAGATAAGATCAATTATTGGCTAAGACATTAACCTTACAATGCAACAGTTGAATATTAGAATATATATAATCAATGTTAACAAGATCATTATTCCAAAGTAACCAAATACCGCCAATATAACCAGTAGCTTCAACACAAATTCAGTCAGAAAAACCCAATTTCCTAATAATACTATCTGCTCTGAAACCACTAGCTCTAGTTTCAAGAAGAATAAGAATTTGAATATTAAAAGTTTTAGTGATTTCTTTAATACGTGTAGGAAAGCTCTTAGCACAAGCACCTCTACAATTCTAACAAATTAAATTCGTAAT